CTTTATATATAATGCTATAATATATTAAAATTTTAAAAGTCAGTGATGTTGTTAGTATTTTGTTCCATAATTAGAGCTGGTTTCAGCAAATATTCAGACAGAAACAGAAGAACAACACTTGCTTTAATAATGTGTTGGTTTTCATATTTAATCACATTTATTTCCACCAGATTTCCCTCACATTTAATCAGTTTTTTAACCAAAATGCTCAGTTTTTTTTATTCCCCTGCCCAACATGGAGACCGTACAACACACTGATAAATCTCAGCAGCAGGTAGTTTGTGATTCTGTCTCAGTGTCTGAGTGGAATTTGCACAGACACCACAGGGGACACTTTTGTTTGGCGGTCCCACCGACCCCCGGGCGAACGCCGTCGAGCTTTGATGTCTCACCTTTAACACCCGCTGCACGGAGGCAGTGATGTGAAATTTAAAACCTGGTCTCTCTGAGTGCAGGACTTGAAATGACTAACGYCACTGATTCACTGAGACGCCGTGTGAGTCAGCGAGCGCGTCTCTGCGTGGAAGAGACGGCGAGGAGCGCGTGCGTCTGGCTCCGCGCTCAACCGTGGGATTAAAAATGCTCGTCAAGATGGGATTGGGTTTACCCCCACCCACCCCCAACATATGGATGCTGCACCCCATCTATACGTGGCTCTCAGCCAATTGCGTTGGTTTTATTGTTGCACACCGAGGGTAACCATGGCGCCCACTGAGGGACTCACCATGTCGCCATGGAAACTGCATCTGTTTACAAGGCAGCTTAGTGGGAATGATGATGGAGGGGGTAAGGCGTATGGACTTAAACGGGGAAATTACCAGGACTGCATCTGTGACTCGCTGAAAGAGTTCTAGTCAATCAGCACCGATGCTCACTTCTCCGAACAGAAAGCCTCCCATTCTTCTCCACCAGACATCGAAGAGATGCTCGGCTATTTAAAAGCTGAACTGATAATTAGCGCACCCGGTCGCCTTAAAACTGAGAATCACTGGTGTTTTTATAGAGCTATTATTGAAAAAAAAAAGCCGTCATTACACAGCAAGCTGTCAGAGTGCTTTTAATGTGCCAAACTGTCTCTGCGATAAACGTGTTGTTTTCACTCAAAGTGACTGAATTCATCAGATTTAGATTTGCATAAATTAGTGAAAGTGTTATGTCCAAATGCATGTTCCCATAATGACAAAGTATCCTCTGCATTTACCAATCACACGTCAGATACACCCGAGTGCAGCAGAGGACAGCGCCTCCGTCTTGCTTAAGGACACCACAATAGAGGAGGAATCTAACCTGCCATTTTCCGGTTCCAAACTTGGTGCCTTACCCCTAACCCACATTAAATTTAGAACAGTCTTGATAAATCAGAATCAATGTAAGTTTAAAATCCATGCACATCATTTAAATCTAAACCACTGAGATCACTTTAATTTTCTTTAAAGGGCCAATTTTATGTGTTTCTCAGGCGTATATTTAAATACTATACCATAATAAAGTATCTCTGTCACCTTTAATTGTTATTAAAATGCCTTTTTTTAAGTTTAAATAGAAAATAAACTTATCTTCTCATCACTTCCTCTTCTAAACGCCTTGAAATTGGCCTCTGTCTCTGTCTCTGTCCACCAGAGCTGTTACTGAAGTGTAATGGATACCACCCGAACTGTGCTGCACAGAGATCATTTGTCGTACGTTTTGTTAAATGTGCGGCAACATTAACAGTTTTTGTCCAAGTCCAGCCAAATTTCAGTGTGTGCAACCAAACTCTGATTGACTTCCACTAAAGCTGCCCTCAGAATTTTTTCTTCTAAACTAAAAGTGAAGGGCTTTTTTTCAACTTACATTAAACAAGGATATCTAATTAACCAGATGCTTCTGCCATTTAATGTTCAGGTTGTTTGTTTGAGCGTTTTGTCCAGGAGGGAGAGACACGAGTGGTTGGTTAACCTGGAAAACACAATGAAACACTGGCAGCAGCGATTGGTTTACTTCACATTTCTTATTAAAGTTTATACATCAAAACATCAACTTTTTGTCAGCTTAGCTCATAAGTTTCACAAATGACAGTTTATGAAAGACAGCTGATGAATGTCAGAGTTTCAGGCAGTAGCTGCACTAACTCCCTGCAAAAGTTCTCCCAAAATGTAGTTTCTAAATGAACATCAAGGGTAAGATTTCCAAGAAAATGCTCAGCAATTTATCTGTCAAGTAAAGTTGTTTTTCTTACCGTTAGGGGAGCTAAACCCCCCAAGAGGACCAGATCAATGCTCTTACTAATTGCATGTGCACGTTCACCCTTAAATCATGTGTGTGTGTGTGTGTGTGTGTGTGTGTGTGTGTGTGTGTGTGTGTGT